GGTCTTGCTGCCAGCCAGCTGTCGTGTGTTGACTTGGACAAAACTTTTGGACCCCTCTTATACATTCTGTCACACTCCCCATCAAGCTTATTTGGATGCCAGCTTTGGTATATTTTAAAAAGTTCACTGTATTATTCTGTATGTAGGTTGTACTGGTGAAAAATCACCAGGAGCTCAGTGTTTGTAGTTGTCTAAACAGACTTTATTTTGGATTACATATGCACATATCTCCGGTACGCTATATGCAGCTTTTCAGCCTCCTAAGAAGCAGGAGCACCAGTATCAACAGAATCCTTGATTTGAGAGAAAATGCTAATTTTAATTAGTAATATTTGTTATTATTGTTCCTACTTGACTATATTGCCTTCTTCATTTATCTATAGACAATGTTATGTTCCGTTTTCATCATTTATGATTAGAATTAATGACTTTACAATTTTTAATCATTACATTTCAATAAAACACTAATTTGCTGGCTCTTCAGTTGCTTAGTTGTCTTTTAACTACATGGGAACTGGGCATTCTTTACAGCACTGTTAAAATGGATTCTGACTGGGTTTTCCTACAGAATCTGAATTAGTTATAATATTTCGTTACCTCTTCACGTCGTGGTTTGGTTTGACAACAAGTTTATTTTATTGGAAACATTCTGTTCAGCAAGTTTTGATGACCTGGATCCAATATTAAAAAAAAAATGCTAAGCTTAGAATCTTTTACTGATGAAACTGCTGTAAAAAGATATTGCCACGTAAAATTTTGTATGGGTTTTGCTCATATTTTTGAAAGTTGTATGCCTTTTTCTGGAGCAATGTTTCTCAAACTTTATGTTGCAACTTCCAAGGGAGTTATTGGAAGGTTCAAAGAGCTTTAAAAAACATTAAAAAGAATTTTAGATGGTACATATTAATTATTAATTGCGTTTATTGTGGAGAGAAAGAACACTTAAAAAATTATGCTGATTTACTGTTGGCAGCCTCTCAGTTCCTTCAGGATTGGGGGTGGGAAAAGCAGCAATGGCTTGTGGTAGCAACAGGGAGGTTGCTGCCTCGGGGAACAGCTGACCAGGGATAGAGTAGCTTCTGGAGGAAAGGAAATAAGTGTGTACACTATCTAGTAGTCTGTACTTACAGGGACTTTGTATTTTCCTGCACTGAAGAAACTGAGCTGCTGTAAGTAAAGACTGTTATCTCTTTCCCGGCCAAGTGTTTTACAGTTTGGGAAAGGGTCCATAAATGTACTTGAAGAAGGATGGTGCATCCAAAACGTTTGAGAAATAGTACTCCAGCATGTACTGAAACATCATGGATTTTACATTTGTCTTAGTGGGTTGGCGTTGATGCAGGGTCTTCTTTCTTCAGGACATTTTTTGAGGCTATCCGAGTTTGGATATGTAACTTCTAAACTTTCTCTACCAGGGTATTCCCATGGGTCAAGTATTTAACTCTTTGGACCAAAAGACTTAGTTCTGTGGCTATTTCAGCAATCTGACTTGCCCTGGCCAGCCTACTGAAAGGGATTGCAGCAGGAAAAAGTTCTAGTCCTTGGAAGACCATTAACTGAGTGGTAACACTGATCTCAGAGGCATCTAATTCTTGAATGGAGTAGTGCAAATTTCTCTGTTCAGTGTGCCTGCGTGATGACGGTCCTCTGGATGGCTACCACTGAATCAGAGACCTACATGAGCTGATTTGCTTGCAGGTGCATACATCAACTCAAATTGAAATAGTTGAGGTGTTTCTAAATTACACTGCAAAGCACAATGTGGGTACACTGCACTTAGAGGTCATGTTCTGAAGGCTATGTTTTTAGCTAGAAAAGCTAAAAGACTAATTCCTTATAAAATGAAAGCTGAACTCCTACACCGCAAGGTGATAGTCACTGCAATGCTCTCAGTGTGCTGAACTACTAACAGGAGAGACCATTTCAATGATTTACTGTGCAGCAATTCTTTTACAAGAAGTTACTGACTTATCTTGTGAAGTGGTGATAAATATCAAAAAAAGAAAAGAAAAAAACCCAGCCTATTTATAAATTTGAGTTTTTCCTTCAGTTCCATTCACCTGGCCTTTCTGTTTTTGTGGAAATAAGCTGAAGAGTTGAGTTGGGCAATATGACACAGATCTGGAAAAGACCCACTGTCTAACAGGGAAACAGTCTGAGGGAAACCTTTTACCTTCAGAACTCTGAGTTATCTGGATTACTTGTATATTTCTCTGGTAGACTGAGTACTATTTTTTCCTGTTGCACTCACCTTTTTAACCATCTTGCCTAGCCAAAAGATGAACCAAAACGATGTATTTCTCAAGGACGTTTAAATCTCATTGATTTCCAGAATCTTCCGGCAAACTGTTCTGAAGGACAAGCCAACCTATGCATCTGGACTCTGTGTTATCAGGGAGTCATGAATTTTCTGCCGTGAAGTGACCCAGTAGATTTCTCAGACTTCAGCAATGTAATTTTCTAGAAATTAAGTCCATCTCATGAACATTTGTGTTTAAGCCTAGATATTCCAGGCTGTAACACAAGGGGAAATCTTTAACGTAGGCCTCTATCAGCCACTCAGGGCAACTGGGGGCTCACCAACGTGTTGTAAGTCAAGATGACAATTCTGCTTGAGCTCCAATTTCCTTATGTGGTGGAAGCCTTAAACTCCTATTGATTGCCACGAGTCTTAGCACCCTCTGTCACCTTTTAAACCCATTCATTCAGGTAAACAGATATCTCCCTCCTCGAAATGGAAAGGAGTGAATAAATCTACCCAGCTCATCTTCTATTCACTGATCCTGCTGTTGCGAGCCATGAACAATAGCAGCCTGTTAAGCTGTGCTTGACAAGTGTAAATGTCGTCTAGGTTGCAAAATTATTTTGGTTTCGAAGGCAAATTAATTCTACAAGCCACTCGGCAAGCCTCAAAGTATGCTTGTCATAAAAGTGCAAGCTATTAGAAAGGAAATAATTAGTATTGCTTTAGTAAGTGGTTCAAGAGCATCTATGGTTACAGTGTCACAGATAAGATTTTTGTTTCTCTAAAAGTTTTCTTAGAGGTTTTTGTTGCTTTTCTTTTTTTCATTTCTGCCACAGACTTCAGTTTTAGTTTTGCAGACCTTAGTCTTCTGCTTGTTTTTAGTGGTTGTAAAGTCTTTTTTCTGTCTGGTTTTCTGTGTGTGTCTTTCTCCCCTTCTTCCTGCAAATAGTGACTATCTTTCATTGGTCTGAATTACACAATGCTCGCATTAACTCTAATGAGAAAGAAAAGAATTTAACAGAGTCATTGTTTACAGGACTTCTAGCATTCAGAAAGGCAAAAAATTGTGTGACCGCATAGCTATTGTTCTAAAGACATACTTGCAATGTTTTACAATGTTTCAAATTTTTTGTTAACTTATTATGTTGGAGATAATCTGACAGAGTTCTGTTCCTAAAGTTACCAAATAAAACACAGCAGTAACTGGTTAAAGGATGTCAGGTTTCCTAGGTGGCATGTATTATTTTTACCATACAGATTGAGAAAAAGTAAGGCAAGATTTGGGGTGGAGGCTTTGCTTGAGTAAGCATTAGAATTTGTCAGCACTAGCTTATGAAAGGCCAACTTTTCAAAAAGTTCCTGCTGTTGAACTCTTGGAGCTTTCTGCAGTCTTGATATACTGGTACAGTGTCAAGA